TCTCATTGTTATTATTATTACAGTGGGTTTTGTAGCATGGCGCTATTTGTTACCATCCACGCCACAGGGTCTGCACGGCACTTGGAAAGGTGATCGAGCGATACTCACTTGGCAAACTGTCGATGCCGTTGATGAATATGAAGTTTTTTATCGACGGTCAGGATCACATGACACTGCACCGTGGTGTTCAAAATCGAGTGGAAAATCAGTCATGGCAGAATTCGATGTACATACTGGGCTGCCCTATGAAGCATATGTGGTAGCCAAGAATTGGTTCGGTTCTAGTGATCGCTCATCGAAAATAAATGGTTGTGCACGTGCTCCTGCCCCAACTCAGTTTACAGTTGTATGTGATCCAACTAAGCCTTTACTCTCTCTCAAATGGAACCAAGTGTCCTGTAGTGTGGGCTATGTTATCAAGCGAAAGAGCGCGATGGAAAGTGATTTTCACATCATTACAACTATCGATAGTTCATATATAACACAATCACAAGACACAAATATTATATATGGGATGAGTTATAACTATATGGCTATTTCTCTTGATCGCAGTGGAGAGAGTGATTCGTCGTTATCAGTTGTAGTTTGTCCCCGAGTGCCGGTGCCGAATCATTTTGCAGCGTCTACTCCAAAAGGTCTAAGCGCTACAGTTCTACTTAATTGGCAAGCTGTACCAAATAGTATTGCATATCACATATATCGACGCCGAGCTGAGGATCCTATATATCAGAATCCGATTCTCTTGACGACATTGCGCAACCCTAATGCAAATTCATATTTGGATCAAACGGTGATTAACAATGTGAAATACATCTATACCATTGCTTCCGAAGATTCAGCTGGAGTGAGTTTACAATCGACAGCAGTAGTCGGCATGGGGGCCCTTATTGCTCCAAATAATTTGTCTGCTAAACCAGTTCACGGCAATAATTGTATTATCTTATCATGGACAGAAGTGGCAGGCGCATTGGGTTATCGAATTTGGCGATCTGGAGGACAGCCTTCAACTGAAAAGGAAATTGGTCTATTGTCACACGAATATAATACCAAGTATGTGGACAGAGAAGCTAAACACGAGACTGCCTATATTTATACAGTACAAGCATTTGATAAAAATACTAAATATGGTCCTAAATCCAATTGTGTTAAAGCAATTGTTTCTAAGATTATGCCACCATCCGAAAGACAAAAGACTGGACAAAAAGCAACCGTACCAGTAATGATGGACGTTCGCTTTGGTGATTTGATTACTGAAAATGTAAGTCTAAGAAAATCACCTTCCGTTTGTTCTTCAATTTAGTGTTAGAAACAGCCACAACCTATATCTCAATACTACAGAACTCTTCATAAAAAATGTACCTAAGAATCCGTGTGATTTGAATCAGTCGTTATTTGATGCATGATTGTCTTAGTATATGTTTTTCAGGAACTTTCCCAATGCTATTTAAACAGAAGTTCTAAATTTGTTTACTCGTTCAACAGGATGTCCTTTCATTGTTTTTATACCACTTGTCAGAAATTCTTGAAAGAACAGTGTCTAATTAACTTTCTGTATTATTTTGATTCAAAAAATTATCTTTACATCGATTTTAATCGTTGCAGGTTGATGCAATTGTTGTTTGTTTATTGTCAGATGAGCTCAAAAACAAAATACTCAACGCTGCTGGTCATAGTTTTTCTTTAACTTTTGTTGATGCTCCTCGATGTGATACAAATGGCTGTTTTAAAGTGTCCGGTGGTCTGTTGCCTTGCAAAAACATTATTTTTGTTCCATGGAAAACACCTGCAGAATCTCTTGATATATCTGAACAGTCCATACGAACTTTTATAACTATTGCTCTTCAATGTGCTCAGCAACATAAATGCCAAACAGTGGCATTTCCTGCCGTTGGTGAGTCACACGTTTGACGTTAGATTTGATATATGATTTCTTGATTAATATAGGCTGTGGTGGACTTGGTTATGATGTTCATACAGTAGCGAAGGCAATGGTATCAGAAGCATACAAGCAAAGTACATCTGTATTATACGACCGAATTCAGATTTCATTCATCATCTACCATGACAAACAGAATATCTACGATGAATTCTTTAGACAATTACAGCTGCACGGTAAGTATTTCTTCAGTGCGCACAGTTCGCAATGAGTGATAAAGTACCGCATCTTTTTCGATTGTTATCTACCTTTAAATTAAAAGTCGAAGATTTTCACAGTATAAGACACACATTAACTATCGTGATATCTTTTCTCGCTGAATTAAAAACTATAGATTGTTCATGTACAATATATATACGTTACTCCATATATATTTTGTTCGGTATAATAACAGCTCCAGATTAAGTAGAGTTATAGTTGTGATTAGGGATATATATTTAGTTATCTCAATGTCATCTTTAGAAAAATCAAATAGTCAAACATCGATAGAAGATTCAACAATACCATTAACGTGGGAAAAGACGAGTGATACATACAATCTACGGGTAAATGTGCCAATCAATTCCAATGAGGGGCAAGCAGTCTTATTAGATTTTCATCGAACAATGACTAATTATGATTCGTACTCACGTATCATTCGTATTGAACGAGTACAGAACGAGCGTTGGTTTCGTCAATATCAAATTCACAAAAGTGAATTTCTTCGCCGTTTACAACAAGATACGGAGCAACGGCTTTTTCATGGATGTGCTGGCGGCGAGTCAGCTGTTAAATCAATCGTCGAGTATGGCTTTAATCGCAGTCTAGCTGGCACTAAACATGGTAAAGATGCATTATTATTTATAGAATTCATATCCATTCCAATTTTTCCCTATTTACTCGAATGTTTTTTTCAAATAGGTACAGCATATGGATTGGGTGTGTACTTCTCATCGAAAGCAAGTGAAAGTCATAATTATACAAAACTATCAAATATTATATCAACGGGAGAACGTTATATGTTTGTCTGCAAAGTTCTAGTTGGTAAAACCACCCAAGGTAATGCGAGCATGTCTACTTGTCCTGCTGGATACGACTCAACAGGCAACGGGTCCACAATTTATGTCATATATCATGATGTACAAGTATATGCTGAATATCTCATCATTTATCAATAACTTCGGCTATGTGATGTCGAGTCGGTGTATGTGTATTTTACTAATATCTCAGAGACTATGTTCATTTCTCTAATAAATCTGAAAGAAGAATAAGATTTTATCCATTAAATACTAATAAACCAGGGTATGGGTGTGAGTGTTTCTTTATTCTCGTACATTCACACCCACATCCTCATATTATATAATTGATTGTTAACCTCATGAATACCGCTGTCTTCAGACTGACGACAAGCAGAACGAATTAATAGAGGCTGGTTCATATATTTCATGACGAACTACAGAAAACGAATATCAATAGTTCTATACATCATATATAATAAAATATGGCACATGTATACAGCTGATTCAGAGTGACAGAATGCGAGAGAGAGTGATTTTTTATTTTTATTTTGCATATGAACAGAACGCAAAAATCATCGGCTTACAGAAGGTTAATGGACAAATAAAGCCAGTACATTCATTACTCATCAGTTTCGTTACTCATCATTCAATCGACAAAAAGCTGGGAATTTCGTAATAACAATGATATTTGTTCTCTTTCACCATGACACATCATGTTGGTAAAAGCCAATTCGTGACAAAAGTAAAAGATAAAATACTTACTTACTTTACTTTTGTATGCAATTACTTTCAGGTAAGTCGTTGTACATATATTACATTTTTTTATTCATCAGAAACAACAGTATCACTTTTTGAGAGTGGTAATATGCATGAGAATAAGACTGTTTGTTTTTACTAACACATAGTTTTTCCTTTAAATCTGCCGAATTATTAAGATTCAATGCTATGTTTGGAGGATCGTTGATATCTTTGCTGATCAGACTAACGAGGGAAGGTCCCCAAGTGTGAATCTCAGTTTTTAACGGGAT